ACGTAATTTCGCGCGAGCCCATAAGTTCCATTGTTCGTCGTTTGATTCGCCGCTCCTAACATTTGCAATCGTTCAGCATATTCGGTGACGCTTTTCCCGACTCGTTGTCGGTGGAGTTTCTATTTTGCAGAACTTCTAATACCTAATTTGCAAACCAGGACTTTAAAATGTTCGGACTAACTTGAAATTCAACACAGATAACTTACTTAGTCACAGCTATCACTTGGTATAAATTTCAACCCCTAAAAGCAATCCTTAAAAACACCCCTTATTTTAACCTTGCAGACCAGGGCTTTAAAGTGATCCGACCGATTTGAAATTGAACATGCATGAACTAGGGGAAATTTGGGTAATATGGCACATGCGAATAAAACGGCACACTATTCTTATTTGAACTACGCGCAATTTCAACGTTCAACTTTGCATTTTTAATAATAGATGACGCCCTTTGGAGGATTTACAATTGGCGCCCGACATCGAGATTCGTCGATTCCCGGCGTTCAGGTGGTATGATGTGCTTGAAGCTGTTTTTATCTTCTTTGGGTGTTTATAAATGTGTGTTCAGATATCGTAAGAAGAACGTGATCGAAAGAGTTGTTAGGTACACTGCATAATGTAAGTCTCATACCAGAGTTTAAAACTGWTGTCATTACGTTTGGACTCTTACATCTTTATGAAAATCGGTACAAAATTATTGTTACACTTTGTGATAAAATGGCACACCGTGGTTTGGTATAACATGGCACTATGCCGTTTTATCCAAATAAACATATTTCAAAAAACATTTTAAATTTTAGATTATGGGACGGTGTGACCGATACAAAAGAAAATCCCAACGGCAGGGATGGACCGAAGCAGATATGGGCCAGGCAATTGAGAAAAAAAGTGGGATGGTTAGCTGCTAGTAAACGCTTCAGCGTTCCTAAAACGACTCTTCGGAGAAGATGTGAAGGCAAAAATAAACGTATTAAGGGGTCAAATAAGGGTATGGGGCGCTGGTCTGCTACTTTTCCACTCAATATGGAAAGAGAGTTGATAGAATATGTAAAAAATATGGAAGTAAGATTTTTTGGAATAACTACTGTGGAACTTCGAAGGCTGGCATATCAATTTGCGGAGCGGAAAGAAATAAACTACCCCATCTATTCAATCATGAGACTAAAATGGCAGGGTGGGATTGGTTATACAGCTTTCCTAAAAGAAATCCAGACATTTCATTAAGGCAACCAGAAGCCACTTCGGCAGCCAGAGCGAGTGCTTTCAATAAGCCACAAATAACTCGATTTTTTTTTCTTTTGGAAGATACTATTGCCAAGAATGATATTCCACCGGAAAGGATATTCAACATGGACGAATCAGCGCTGTCCACAGTCCAAAAGCCACCAAAAATCTTCGCTACGAAAGGACGCAAACAAGCAGGGGCTATAACAAGTGCTGAACGTGGTGTACACACGACGGTAGATTGTTGTATGAATCCCATAGGCCATTTTATCCCACCAGCTCTTATTTTTAGAAGAAAAAACGCTAAAGCAGAACTGACTGACAAAGCTCCAACTGGTACGCTCCAGTTATGTCAAGAGTCTGGATGGATGACAGGTCCCTTATTCCAAAAATGGTTGCTTCATTTTATAAAATATACAGACGCATCAATTGAAAAAAAGGTTTTGCTTATACTCGACGGCCATTCAAGCCATAAGTATTTGGACGCTCTGGAAACAGCAAAATCAAATGGCGTCATTGTACTTTGTACTCCACCACACTGTACCCATCGTATTCAGCCTCTCGATGTGTCATTTTTTGGCCCTTTATCAACATACTACAACCAGGCTGTTTCTAATTGGCTTAAAAATCATGTAGGAAGAACCGTTTCAGTTGGTTGGGGAGTTACTTTCAGAAGCAATATGAAAAAGCTGCAGTGATGAAAAATGCAGTTAATGGCTTCAAAAATACGGGCATATATCCGTTAAACCTAAACCATATTCCCGGATTGGATGTTTGCTCCTGATGAGGTTACTGATATGGAGAGGCATGAGAACGAAGGAGTAGATAATTTTGATGAAAATGAAACTGAACTATAGAGATTTGAAAACGAAGGTGGACTGAAGAGACTTGAAAGCGAAGCTGGTCCATCAAAAATGCAAACGTCTGAAACATCTTCTTCCCCAAAAATTTCACAACCTAGCTTCTCTGAAAGCATTCCGATTGACTATGGGGAGGCTCACCCGCTGAGGATATCTGCTCTTCAGCTTCGACTTGAGAAAACTCCTTCTCCGCCACTTGAACACAATATCCAAGAAGAGGAAGATGCAGAGAAGAACAAAACGTACGAGGAGAACAGAAAATACATTTCATTGGAAGTGATTAAGGCACTGCCAAGAGCACAGGCAACAAAAAATAAAAGAAAACGCAGAAGTCAGGGACCACTAGTTTTAAATTCAACTCCAAACATGAAAGAGCTCAAAGACAAGGCAGAAGAAAAAAAGAATTTGGAAGACCGCAGATCTACGAAGAAACGAAAAGCAACGAAAAACCTTAAGAAGACTCTTCTTGAACCTGACACCGAAGACGAGGATCCGTTTGCAAATGAGGATGATGATGATGAAGCATCTTGTTTGTATTGCAACGAACTTGTTTCTATGTCCAAGCCAAAGGAAACCTGGGTTCGATGTCAAACCTGCCAAATGTGGTGCCACACGGATTGTGCTGGAGTTCCCTCCAAAGTCAAGATTTTTATATGTGAACTTTGTGTATAAATATAAATATAAGGTGTATGCCATATTATCCAATCTATTGGATAAAATGGCCTACCTGCACCTGTAATATAAAACTATACTTTAAACCTTTCCTTTTGAAAATCTACTTAATATTGTTGTTTCTATTGATAGATTAATAAACAAGGTAGGCTCTGTATTTTTTTAAGTTTGGAACCTGCGTATTTAAGAAATATATTTATGTTGTAATAAAAAGTGTGCCATTTTACCCAAATTTCCCCTACCTAATAGGAGCTATTTTTTGGTATTATTTGCAACCCTCTCGATCCAACATTTAAATTCTTGTAATCAGGTGCAGAGAGTAGTATTTTAAACTTCAAAACACATTGTAACTATACATTTTTATCGAATATTTTAATTAAAAGAATTTTTCGAACAATTACTCCTAAAGCGTCCAAAAAAAAAAAAATTGTTTCTTAAATATTAAATTAAATTTCCATCGAGTATAGAGTTCACAAAATACCAAGAAACAATACTGAGAACAAGCAGTGGAAGTTAAATGACGTCAGAAGAAAAGTAATAAATACCTTGCACCTTCATTTGGTCAGATCAGGTCATAAAATATAAGTTTTATTAAAATTTGTTCCTTGTTCCAAGTCAAAATGCAAGCAAATGTTTAATTTGACCTAAGAGCAACATGATGTTATAATTGCATTTTTTAGCACCACTTTCTTAATGAAATGTTTCAATATCTCGCCGCGCATTTCGTAAAAAATGCATTGGAGCAATGATTAAGAGTTTTGTTCTTAGTTACGATTGTTGTTAAGGAAAAACTAAATTATTAATTATTAATAAAAAATAACGCAACTAATAAAATCTGGGAAGAGTACAACAAAACAAGATAAGCATATTATGAGGTTAAACATTTTGAGCTTAAAAACTAATTTGTCAAAAAAAATCCCCAGATTAAAGCGCCACCGGGAATCAGTTGAAGTCAAAAGATGCTCAGGCGAGAGAAGAATTATTTCTATAGAGACGGCGATGCTTTTTAGAAACAAACCTTTTCATTTTTTTGCGGTCCAATGATTTAATTTGTCCTGAAGAATATATCAAATACAAAAAGAGATTTTTCAAAGTTTTATTTTATTATTATGAACAATTATTACAAACATAGTAGGAAGGTAACGGTTGTAACGGTTTTATTTTGTTAATTTTATTTAAAACGTCCTAAATCTAATTACACTATATTTTCGCCGGTCTAGGGGGCGTCAGAGGGCCCTAGAGATGCTTGGGGACTGTAAGATCGTTGATGCAACCTCATCTAGCATTCAACTAAAAAGACCAAAACATAATAAAATACCGTATCGTGTTTACCTTACCTGCTCCCGTCATTTGGGTTTTAGAGTCATTTTCCGTTTTGTTCTT